AAAAGAGAAGAGAGAAAGATTATGGGAAAGAAAAATTTGGAAAGCAAATTCGAGATGGCATTATTTAATGTCCTAATTGTACTGTACCATAATGCTTAGATGGATAGACCAGTGACTTATACAAGTAGATAAATGGGTTTGGATAGAAATGTCTACATTACTGCCCCAACTAGAGTTCTCTTTTAATCTTTGTGCCACCAATGTCAGGATAGAACAGAAGTGGGGAAAACACCAGAAGGGCAAAGTGCCCACCAAGAGATTCCTGCTCTAAGGGACATCACACAGGTCCTTCTGAGCTATCTCTGCTATGCTCCTGAAGGTCCTCCAGGGGTCCCTGAAGAATTCAGGCTTCATTCCATCCCCTCATTAGGGGAAGATGATGCAACAAAGATTGTCCACAGTACTATAGCTCCTAGCACCCAGGGAGTAGAAGTCCCAGTGCAGTGAAAAAGTGCAGAGATTCTCTAATTGGTCATTGGAGGCCCTACCAGGTACAAAGAATCCTGCTCAACAGAGTGACCTCAAGGTCAGATGCCTCAATATGCTGCCTGATGCAGGAGATAGGAGAGGAAGAGAGGTGAAGGAGGCCACCTCTCCACTTTCAAAGACCCACAAACTTGTATCAGCCAGAACCTCTACAACCATTCACTTGCTGAACCCAAAAAGGATGATTTTACTTTTCTCACCTTATTCCATTGCTCAGAAAGTAGGCTCTAAGCTGAAGAAGATCTAGGAGTCCTTCACTCTTCACTACACACCAGGCTTGAGAAAAAGGAGACTGAGAAAACCCAAGCACCATCTGTGTGATCTTCAGTAAGTCTGACTCTCACATGGTAGGTAAGGTGAAGTCAACATAAAACACGAGACTGAGAAAAGCCAGCTGGTTTTCAAGTGAGAAAGAGCAAAAGCTGCATGAATCCCTTAACACTGAATGTGGGTAGGGAACAACCTGGCACCAAGGACAGGCTGTAGCCCAACATGTGACAGCACCAGTCTTGCTATTTTTCAACTACGGGGCTGAAGAAACTCCTTCCTAGCATTCAAATACTGGCAGAAGTCCCTGATGTCTCTAAAGGGAAAGAGAGCTTTGAACTCAATAGCTTCAACAGAACCATGGCCCAAGCTCAGGCTCAGAGAAGTTGATTGTGGAGTCCTGTAGGGGAAGTCAAGAGAGATACCCATGGAACGTGAGCTGTACCAGGGCATGGTGCCAGGAGGTGCCTGAAAACCTTTCTTAAGCCAAGAGGTGAGCCAACTTGGTGTGGACAGAGTGGGATGGCACAAAGAGCCAGGTGTACAGTGACATTACTCTGCACCTTCCCTCAGCAATGGGAAAACAGGTGTCACAGAGGCAGACAGGGCATCCACAATGCTGTCCTTCCACCGAGGGTCACTCCACTCTGGATGCTTCTTTACAGCCTGAAGTGCAAAGTACACTGTTCTACACAGGAAAGGGTTCATTCCTAGTCATGAATTCAGTAAATCAGACACAACGTCCCCTTTCAGCCATGATGAGTTCATCTTGGAGGACAACCAGGAAAGCAGTGGCTATTTTCAGTGGAAATCGTGGCACTGAAACATCTTTCTAAAGCATGGGATGTGTTAACATGGGACTGTGACATGCACCTGTCACTGCCTCCACCATGCTGTCTACACAGCTCTCCCAGCTGAGGGTCATGACAACCCACAGACAAGGGAATCTCTCAGCAGTTTCCTGGCAAGAATTTGTGCTGGTGGGATTCAGGGGAGAAGTGTCAACCCAGGCCCTGCTCTTTGCTCTGTTCCTGGTCCTGTACACTCTGACCATGGTGGGCAACCTCACCATGATCATAGTCATCACCCTGGATGCCCAGCTGCACTCCCCCATGTACTTCTTCCTCAAGAACCTGTCCTTCCTGGACCTCTGCTACTCATCTGTTATTGCTCCCAATGCACTAACCAACTTCTTCTCCTCCAAGGTCATCACATTTGTAGGATGTGCCACTCAGCTCTGCTTTTTCTCCCTATCTGCTACAACTGAAGCCTTCTTGCTGGCTGTGATGGCCTATGACCGCTTTATGGCCATCTGCAGTCCCCTGCATTACCACATGACTATGTCCTCTACAATGTGTGCCCGCCTGGTGTTGGGCTCCTACCTTGGAGGCTGCCTCAACTCCATCGTGCAGACCAGTCTCACATTCCAGCTCCCCTTCTGCCGCTCCCACCACATTGACCACTTCTTCTGTGATGTGCCCCCTCTGCTGCAGCTGGCTTGTGCTGACACAGCTCTCAATGAGCTTCTTTTGTTTGGCATCTGTGGCTTCATCATTGTGAGCACTGTATTAGTGGTTCTAGTGTCGTATGGTTACATTACACTGACCATCCTCAGGATGCGCTCAGGACTGGGGAGAGTGAAGGTCTTCTCCACTTGTGGCTCCCACATGACAGCTGTGTCCCTGTTTTATGGGACAGTGTTTGTCATGTATGCGCAACCAGGGGCTGTGGAGTCCATGGAGCAAGGCAAGGTGGTCTCCATCTTCTACACCCAGGTCATCCCGATGCTCAACCCCCTCATCTACAGTCTGCGGAACAAGGACGTGAAGGATGCTCTATGGAGAATGAGGCAGAGACGGGCACCCCTGTGAAGGGGTGGTCCATGTCCTGCAGTGGAGGAAGAACTCCAAAGACATGCGCTGCCTCTTCATTGAGCTTTTGTTGTGGTTATTGCTTCTGTGCTTGATTCCTTTCTTGACATTTTGCTTTCCTGACTTTTTCCCTCCTGGTTTTCTGGCTCTCTTTCTCCAATCTCTCTCTCCAGTGTTCTATGAAGGCATATCATAGTGAAGTCATTCATTGAATGTGAATAGCACATGCACTGTGCCACCATGGTTAAAGATGGAATAAACCCATATTTCACACACAATGGTAACACAGTGGAGAGAGCACTGACCAGATTCCTTGAAGCAGGATTGGGACAGTGAAACTTTATAGACTACATTCTTAGTAGCCCTTTCCTTGTCCTTCATCGACACTAATGTCACAGTAGCTAAGGAAATCTCCCCTTGATATCTGAGAGCAGGAATCTTAAGGGGCTGCAGGCTGCACACATCCTCACAAGGGCCTGGAGTTACCATAGTGGGGCTGTCTGCACTTCTCACTCAGCAGCTCGCTGCTCCCTGCTCTCCCTCAGGGCAGGTTGTGGTCTCCTCCTGCAGATAGCACAGGACATCTCCTCTCCTGCTTGAGATGCTCCTGGGTGACCTGGCCCCAGCACAACAGTCAGCCTCAAGCTCAGCTCAGGAGAAACCACAGGGAGTCCTGCCTGTCACAGTGAACTTTAAAAGCTCAGCCTGCCTGCTCCTGAGCATAGCGAGTGCTGCTGTCACCAAGCTGCTCCCGAGCAAGGATAGAGAGCCATGGTACAGCCAAGAGAAGAGTGGGGAGGGCACATGCACTCTCGATGCAGAGGAAAGCTCCCTGAGCCACCTCTCCTGCCATGGCGGAGGCCTGGGCCTGAGGCTCGGGATGGCCCTGCCCAGTGCACACCTGTCCTCATGCCCCACCACACCTGGCTTCGAGCCAGGATCCTTCTTTATATGTGTCTATTTAGTAGAGACGTCCACTCCATGATCATCTATATAAGCAGGGTGTTTCTGCATTCCTGCTAGGGAGCCCACCCCACTTCTCTGATCCCAGCCACCATTTCCCTGCTCTCCCTGCTCAGGATAGCCACTGCTAGGCTATCAGTGATGGGAGTGACAGCCAAGCAGGGTCCACCAGTGCTGCCCCATTAACCCACTAGATAATCCAAGTTTCCATCTACTTCATGTACCCTCAGCTTTGAGATCCCCAATGTTATACCTACACCTAGTTAATATGCAGGTCATGTGTAATGTGCTTTTCCTCTGGGCAGTTCTGAATTTACTATTCAGGAATGGCCCACCTCTCCTGTTTAGAGCTGTATTCCTCCACAACATCACCTTCTTCCCTGTCTCTTTTTTCCATCCTTTTTCCCCTGTCATCCTGTGTTCTTAGCAGAATAGAGGGATACACTATACCTTAGACTAATAACCACCTCAATACAAGGTTAGAAAAGAGCAAAAGTGCCACAATTGCTATATCTCTTTCTATTACACAGTGTAGATTTACCTACACTCTGCAGTATTTTGTGGTATAAAGAATGAAGAAATTTTTTCCCAAGTAGTAAATTATGTCAATCTACAGAACTACCTTATCTTAGGGTTGCAATTGTTGTAAGAGTGGAGCCTGCAGCTGTAGTTTTCTTTTAATTAACCGGGGTTGGTTCACCCGCCATGAGTCCACTGCCCATCTCCAAACAAGGGGGCTAGGCCTTGGGCAAACTCACATGTAAACATGAAAAGCCAATTGGTCAATATAAATTGGGCTCAGAGCCACTTTGTAGTGGTCTCCATCACACTAAGATCCTCTGAACATCACTGTTTGAGGTTGAGGGTGGTGGCTTGCCCTTCTCCCTTACAGGATGCTTTCCTGCCAGGGCTGCTGTATGCTGGTGTCAAGCTCTGAGTCCACACCTACTGGCTGATTGCACACTTGGATGTTGGTTACCAGGCTCTCAGCTCTGAAATTCATCAGACACAACTCTGCTTAGGTGAGGAAGTTAGTAGAGGGTAGAGCCCTCAGACTCAAGGACCACATTTTAGCTTAACCCCTGTTCTCTAGTATATTGGGTACTTTTTATTTTAAAGAGGAAAAAAATAAAATTAACACTAAGACAGAGTTTCAAGACAAGCTAGCAGGAGAGTAAGGTAATTAATATATTGTATATTGTTATCTTTATAGCAGTTATTCAGAGTTCAACATACAAGCATGGGCCAGCCAAATAGCTCAGTGGATTAAAGCACCTGCAAGCAGGCACAGGGGCTGGAGGTTTGATCCCTGGGCCTACCATGCTGGCCCTGCTCCCAGAGCATGCTGAGATGGCAATTGAGACTGGGCATGGTGGTGCATACCTGTAATCCCAGCTCTTGGGAGGCTGTAAACGGGCAGATCACTATGAGTCTGATTCAGTAGTGAGACCCTGAACATCTTGTAGCCTCTTCCCCAAAAAATACAAAAATAAATAAATAAATAAACATACAGGCATGAAATCTTGTCCAAACAATAGTAACACAAACCTTTCTTTTCAACAAACTAAGAGAAACTGTTTGTATAGTAATCTTAAGTAACTCATTTATAATTTTTTTCTTTTTCCTTTCCTTCCTTTCTCCTTTACCCCATCACAATCTGTCTTTTCTTTTGAACAGTTACTTCACAATCACAATATCTATTGTACATTTTGGATCTTATTTACTTGTTCAGTTTCTCACACTAGTGAGAGAATGTGGGTCTGATTTATGTCACTTATAAATATGGTTTGGAGTTGCATCCATTTACCTATAAAAGTCTCAAGCTTATCCTTCTTTATGGCTGAGTACTACCCCATATTTTAAAAAACGTTTTTCATTCATTACTCAGTTAATGGTCATTTGGGTTGCTTCAAAGAGTCAGCTATTACAGATTGTGTTTCTATAAACATAGGTGCACATACATCACTGTGGAATCATATTTTTAATTCTTCTGGGAAGATATTCTGAAGGATAATAGCTCAGTTGAATGGGACTCTAATCCCAGGACCTGAGGATCAGTGGAACAGAATAGAAGATGCAGATGCATCCCCAAACACACTCAGCCACCTTGTCTTTGACAAAGGAACCAAACGTGTTCACTAGAAGAAAGTCTCTTAAATAAATGGTGCTGGAAAATCTGGCTTTCCATATGCTGAAGACTAAAACTAGACCCATGTCTATCATCATGAGCTAAACTAAAGTTGAAATAGATCAAAGACCTAAGCAATAAAACAGAAACAGTAAATCTACTTAAAGAAAAAGCAAGTAGAAATCTCAGACACAAATATAAGTGGAGACTTCATGAACAAAACCCAGACTGCAAGGAAACACTGCAAAGGATCAACTGAGGTCTCATACTACAAGTGAGGTTTCACCTTATTGAAAAGCTTTTGAACAACAAAAGCAATCACCAACAGAATGAAAGGACAGCCACATCATGGGTAACATTTAGGGACAGTTGCTCCTGAGACAAAGGACTTACATATAGAACATACAAAGAATTTTTAAAACTCAGACCCCCAAAACTCAAGACTCAATCCAAATATGGGTATCTGAGGTGAACACACACTTCTCAGATGAAGAAATAGATATGGCAAATAAATACATAAAGAAGTCCAACATCATTGGTCATTCAAGAGATGCAAATAAAAACAGTGAGCTTCCATCTTACCCCCCAAAATATAGCTATCATTAAAATCAACAGATAACAAATGCTAGTAGTACTGTGGGAGGAAAGGAACCTTTATCTGCTGTTGGTGGGAGTGTACACTTGTGTAGCCATTGTAGAAATCAGTGTGGAGATTATATTTTTAAGTAAAAAAAAATAATTGGGTTCAGGGAGCATTTAACCTTGGGATTGGCTCACAGAGCTGGAGGGAAGGAGCCAGGCCTGCAGAGGTCAAACTCCAGGAAAGGGATCCTCACCTACCCTCACTGGCATCTGGAGGAGACCCAGTGAGGGAGTAAACTGCTAGTGGGGCCCTTCAAAATCCAGGAACAGCAAGAAAATAGAAAAATGAACTGCCCCCTTCATCTTCCCAAACCTGGGAAATCCTCCCTCCCCACATAACAACCCTCCCTTTGCAAGGGAAGCCCCTACCTCCACTCTGGGAAAAGAGATGCTAACCACCTGGAGCTGGGGGAGGTGCCAAGCTACAGACAGGGATGCATAGATAACAACTTGATTTTTTTTTAATTTTTTAGACAAATAACACATTTTACTGTAGAAAAATAAAAAGACAGGTAATGGTCTTATGCATACCTTTCCAGATTTTTCCCCTTTTGAAGATAAATTTTGTTACAATATCTGTGCTGTTCAAAAGACCCCCAAAGACCCCCCCAGAAACCCAACAAAAAAAAAAATAAAATTAGGTTGGCCCTACCTATGTAGAACAGGTACTAGCCTATACTGTATACAAATCTGTATGCACTCACTTTTTTTCCTTTTGGAGGGAGACTGAAATTGGGGCCTGCTACACTGCAAGCCAAGCATCTCATCACTGAGCTGCATCTGTTCTCCTCATCTGAACTTTGATTTTTAAAATCTAAACTGATAAATCAAGTGTGGTGGCGCACACCT